GTAACCTTGTTTTTTTCCGTTTTGGTGTTAATGATGGCTTTCGTTTAGATTTTCTGTATGTAAATCTCATTTTCTTTAGGCGGTTTCTTACAGTTCGGTCACAGACGTTAACTCCAGTTTCCTCCCATTCGTTCCTCATTGGTTTTGTTGTGCATTTTCGGTTTTTGCGACATATTGCTCTAAGTTTTCTGTCTTGACGCTTTGATGTCTTCCTTGGTCTACCGGTATGTTTGCCTTTAACAACCTTCCCATGTTGTTTGTATTGGGTCCAGATTTTAGACACAGCTGACTGTGAACAACCAACATCTTTTGCAACATTGCGTGATGATTTACCCTCTTTTAAGAGTTTGATAATCCTCTCCTTTGTTTCAATTGACATCTCTCGTTTTGGAGCCATGATTCATGTCAGTCCACTTGGAGCAGCAGCTCTCCAAGGTGTGATCACCCCTTTGTAGATGCAAACTAACGAGTACATCTAATTTGATGCAGGTGTTAGTTTTGGGGATGAAAATTTACAGGGTGATTCCATCATTTTTTCCTCAGAATTGAGTGATTCCATATTTTTTCCCCTCTGCTTGGTCTAGAAAAATAACCGTTACTGACTGCACAATTTTTTTCTTGATTTCTTATAATGTTTCTTAAAGCCAGAAAGTTGCCATTTGAAATGACTTTAGTTTTGTGTCATGTCTGTGATCTGCTTTTTTTCTACAAAGTTAAACAACTGAATGAACATCCTCCGAGGCCGGTGATTCCATAATTTTTGCCAGGGGTTGTACGTCGTCCGGTGCAAAATAAAATAAATAAAATTCATTGCAAGTCCTACTCTGTCTTAACCGAGTAAGAGAACAATTTTTTAACCAGATAAAATGTCAAACTATTGCATTGTTTCCCCTTTACTAAATTTGCCTCGCGTTTTTCTTTCAGTCCAATTCAACCACAATCCCCCCGTCTAACTAACGCATCAATGCAAACTTTTGATTGAGTTTCTGCTCCGTTTTCCAGTTATTTTTCCTTCATTGGACGTCATTTCATTACAATCGCCGCTGGGTCAGGAAAAAATATGCCTATATAAATTAATAAGTTCGACGATCGTTCAATAACCGGACAGGATTGGGGACATTACCATGCAGACATGGGCTAGAAATGCGGACACAATTGCGTCCGGTTATGCAATCTGTAACTATAGTTTGTACCTAGAAACCGGACGCAAAAATAAATGAACTACATAACGTCAACCACGTTAGGTTAGGGTTAGAGTTAGGGTAAGGTGTGTATAAAAGATTTCTTTACGTTAGACACCTTTTTACCTAGATTTCTTTACGTCACTAGACACCTTTTTAGGTCCAGTCAATTCAAGTTCTTCTCTTTTACAATTTTATAAAGGTCGTTGGGTACAAAAAATCATAGTCCGGATACGTGGATATCTGGATGTAAATATTTATGTTATTTATATTAATTCACTCTACATTGGCCTGCTAATTAGAATAAAAAGTATTCACATGAACTTGAAAGCTCATATACATTATACATTTGAGTAAAAAAATTTTTTAGCGCACGTATTTTTTCGAGAACGCAGGCGAAATTTTAAATTCTACAATTCACGATCATTATGTAAACGCTTTTCATTTACCTGCCAGTGCAGAATTGTTTCAATTGCCAACATTTATTAAGTGACCATATTTTTTCATAAGAATAAGGCAGTGCAATTAATGTCAATTAGATTTTTATTAATAAATATTTAGCCGATTACATAATTTTTCCTAAATATAATTTACCCTGACTGAAATCTATTCATAAGTCAAGGGCTTGGCCAAACATAAATTTATTCATAATTTAATTAATTTTACGACGGCAATCTGTTGCCGAGCACAAAATAGTGCAAGAGTTGATAAAAATAATACGTTAAAGATCCTGTATATATAATCAATTAATTTTTTGCAAAAGGATTCTGTAAAGGACTTTCTTATAGTCTAGTCCTTCGGGAACTTGTGGCTATTCCATTCCGCGCCATCATGGCAGGATAAGAACGAACATTCCATGACGTACGGTTTCTAGAAATAAAATGACAAATATACAGAAGAAAATTATACGAGAAAAAAGGTACGCTATTCACATGAAATAATAATATATGGCCTAAAATAAATCAACAATAGTTAAAAAGGATAAGCAATAATTCACGAAATCAAAAAATAAATCGAACGAACCGAATAGATTGGTTCCCCTGGTAGTGCAGGCATCCGTATATCAAGGGCCAACAATGAATGCTGTGAAGATAGTGAAATCAACTGCGTCGAGTAGGCTAATTCTATTGCTACAAATTTCAGAAAAATGGAAAATGGCGGCTACAGATTCAATCCATGTTAAATTATTAAATAGCAAAAAAATTTTCTCGCATTTCTTTAATACTTCAAACACTCCTAAATTCATTTTTCATCTCGCAGTATAACGACACATTTGTTTTCCCGTTTTAGTACGAAAATTCGCTCATGGCATTCGCTCATAATATTTAGGCGGCATTCGAAACTGCATTTCCCACTTTTATGCACGAGATGTCGATCACAGGCCATCTTGCTCGAGCCTTCCGACATCGGATTATTCTGGTTGGAAGCGGCCTGTACGGATTAGGCCTGAAAAATTATGCTCCCAGAAGGTTTTTCCTACAAGCTCATGGTGCTAATTTAAATGAAAAATTCTTTGTCAGTGTATAAACATTTCGACGGTGAAGACTTGAGGACAGAGACGATGTAGCGTAATGTAGTTACCTTCTATGCGCTGATGAAAGCGATTACTTCAACCGCCTGAGTTATTCATTGCTACCAAGAAAACCCCCTTCGCGCTGCAGCGTAGCAGCTCACAGAAACAGAAATAGCTTCAATCTCCCTGTACAAAAATGTCTACATCGAAATATTGTTGAACTTCTGGACGGACGATGATTGCTCTGCATGGCTTTTGCTCTCAAAGAGTGTATCGTGTTCTACACAATGGATTAATAATAGTTTCAGTCATTGCACAGGCTTCAATTTCCTGGCCGATAAAAGATACTATCGAGAAACTTCATCGGAACTCCATTACCATCTTCATCGAATGCAGGTAGCTTGGTTTGATGCGAGCAATTAAGACCTTAGAGTTTAAATCATTATAACTTCGTCTCCCATTAAAATAAATGCGTCATGTTGTTCAAATAGTGACACTTTCTGCACATATAGCTCTGAAACATCAACGTTTGACCAAATGTGGTCAGATGGCCCCACGCAAGGGCAAAAAGAGCTTCACTATTTGAACAAATTGTCGTGCAGGGGCCATACTTTCAAAATTCGCTAAGTGAACGTATGTTTGTATTTACGCTCTATTTTCTTGTCTATGATTGGTGGATTTTGCTTGAAAGGCCGTCAATGATTGGCTGATGAACTTACGATCTCTTAAATTTTATTGAAAATATAGGCCCAGTTCTCTGGAGTGTCCAGATTCATCGACTACATGAGAGTTGTCGACGAATCGATTACGAACCCCAATTAAAATTAATTTAATCGAAATTTTTATTTTCCGGCTATATAAATGTATCTTGTTCGACGTAATTCGATTAGCAGTAAGATATTAGTTGTCAGAATATTTGCATTGAACACTGTATGTTCGTTTTTAGCTCAAACGCAAAAAGAACTACTAGTATTAGTATAAATGTTTCGAAATATTTTGCCACGAATTAAATTATCTGCAAACATCAACCACCTCAAACGTTATCTCGAATACTTCATGAGCGTCGAAATTGGCGCAAATTTCTCACAAAATCAAGCGAATTGGTTCTGAGTTGAAGCCGATCAGATTTATATATTTTCCGCTTTGATGGCATCGGGATTCCGGTCCGCCTTCTTGACGCCGGAAATTCTTATCCCTTATAATGTGATTTGCGCATCCGCCCCGCGCAAAGGTGATTAATCTCGAGTTTATAAAAACGAATTGAAGCCAACGCTCTGGCCTTACTAAGAGATATAAACGCTAATGCTCTGGCTTTTGTAAAATGAATTAAATCCAACGCCCGGGTGTGAGTAAAATAAATAACTGCCAACGCACTAGTGTCTGTATAATAAATTAATGGCAACGCTCTGGCGTTTGTAAAATAAATTAAAGGCAACGCGCTGGAGTTTGTAAAATAAATTAAAGGCAAAGCTCTGGCGTTTGTAAAATAAATAAATGGCAACGCTCTGGCGTTTGTAAAATAAATTAACGGCAACGCTCTGGCGTTTGTAAAGTAAATTAATGGCAACGCTCTGGCGTTTGTAAAATAAATTAAAGGCAAAGCTCTGGCGTTTGTAAAATAAATTAATGGCAACGCTCTGGCGTTTGTAAAATAAATTAATGGCAACGCTCGGGCGTTTGTAAAATAAATTAATGGCCACGCAGGAATAAATTAAATAAACGCAGAAGCGCGCCTCCTGGAGAGGAGCTTAATAATGTTGGAGCAGATTTAGACAGCATTTGTCTCTCCCAGTTAATGAACTGAATCCCTTCCATCTATTTTGGACAAGTTGCCTGCGTTTGACATATTTGATCTCTTTTATCTTGGGGAATCCATCGACAATTAATCATGATAAATGATTACTTCATATTGGAAGTCACGGATCTCAAAGAACTTACGTCAAAAGTTCAACTTGTGCCGCAAGCCAAGTATCAAACATTGGCTTGTGGAGAAACCAGCTTTCCAATGAGGAAGTGATACGCACACTATAGCTGCCTTGAATGGATGAATGAAGTCACTCTGTTGGCTTAAACTTCAAAGATTCAACATGTTAATTTCCTAGTAGCAATTTCAACATCAATTTGCATGGTTAAGAGTGGCTTAGAAACAGCGCTTTTCAACTTTTCTGAGCTTTCAATATTTATTACATTTGTGATTAGTTGATTCTACTATGTGTAATGAAAATTTTTGCTCCCAGTTATTTTTTATTTGTAACTAAAAAAATTGCTAAGGTGTATTTAACGAGGGAAATTATTTTTCCCCCCAGGTGCGACTGGCAAACGAAGAGCGACAGAGCCTGAGTCGGCTGGAGAAGAAAGAGCTTTCCCTGGCGGTGATGCTTCTCGTGGTCGTCATCGTCTTCTTCTTCTGCAACGTCTTGGCCTTCATCGTCAGCGTGCTCGAGCTCTTCAAAATCACCATCGGAGAACTCACCATTCTAAACAATTTCCTGGTGACGGTGAATTCGTCCGTGAATTTCATCATCTACTGCATTTTTGGCCAAAAGTTCCGGCGTTTGTTCCTGCAGATTTTTTGTTTCGGGGCTTTGCAACGGATCTGCGGATCGGACGCTGGACCTCTCGAGTTAGCGTGCGTGGCAAGCAACAGCATCTACGGCGAACGCGCGTCTTATTCGTCGCACTCACGCAGCACTAAAGTCGTTCGTCTTTCGTTCGTTGACAAAAACGGTGACGCTAACACGAGGCTGCTGAGGAACAGGGATTCAGTAGAATCAGTGAGGATCACAAGCAACGGCAACGGTCAGCACGAGCCTCTGAAGACCGTCCAGGAACACAGCAGCGCAGGCCCACTCGAGGACGACGCTTCGCCCACCCGCCCGCTGGCTGAGCAGAGCGATGCCGATGCTGGAGGTTCACACGAACCAATGAATTCTCAGTGAAAATGAAGGAACGACGTGAAACTTTTTGAAATTTTTATTATTATCTTGAAATGCGGCCGGACGTATATTTTTCATTCTGGAGAAAAAATAAAGGCGAATATATATGTTTGTAAAATGCATGGAAAGTCAACAATTGTCTCTGAATTTCAGGATTTCTGTGTTTAAAGAACATATGTATCCTTGTATCAGTACTAGTGTCACAGAAGAGACTTGGTAATAAACCTAGAAGATTAGTTCGCTAACTTAGATTGTTGGTGTTGTGAGAAGCGTGGAATTTATTTAGGTAAACCTGAACAACAAAGTATTGAATTATTTTTCAGAAGAATTATTTACCGTTTCAAATGCGCTAAACGATTAAGTTTAACCTGACGCTTTTAAATAAGACAATAAATAAAATGAAAATCAGCTTCCTTGGCATAAATTTTTTGGGGATTTCATAATGACCTTTAATTTCTTGAGTTCTCTCTTTGTTATCTAATTACATGAATAAAAACTTATATAAACGAAATGGTTTGCGAGAATTGGGCATGGGAAAAGAAATCGAAAGCCTGCAGTGAAATTTATTCTGTTGCTTCAAAGCAGCAAAGAACATTTTAAATTACTAATAGAAAATACGGACTCGTAAATTCAAAATTCGTCCGCAACTTTGGCATCAAGGAAGGAAAAATTCTGTTTTTACAATTAATTACATATTATGGAAAATTATGTACTTACAATTTCTTACAAATAATGAATTGTCTCCTTGACATTTTAATCCGTTTAAACCCAACCTACAGGCTTACGGTCTCCACCGTAAGAATGCAACGGGAATTTCTGTTCCGATCGACATTTTTTACGAATGTTTGTCTTGCTTTTCAATACATTTAAAATCTGCTATAACTTTCTGAATTCCAACATACTTCATTGGAGTGAATCTTTTACAGACTGTACCAAGCTAAAATTTTCCGGATGAAATAGCATGAATCAAATTTTATCTTTCAAGTCCATTAAAGAATTGGATTCCTATCATTATATCGAAAATATTTACGCTGTCGCCAGCGTTCGAAACGTCAAACAAAATTTACAAAAGAAAGGAATTTAGAGGCAAAAAATATATTTATAGATCTTGGATTACAATATTTCTGTTATTGTATTATTTCAGATATTCAGTTATTTCAGTTATTGGTAAACGATAAAATAACTGAAAAATCTGTATTTTTACTTATTTTTGATGATTCATCGAATTAGATATCTAAGTTTCATGTCAGTCAGTAAATGTTAATATTTGTTACCGATTTTCACTGTCCTAACTTTGAAACGACTTTTAAATCGTCCTGTAGAGCAATGCTAACTAAAGCCATTATCACTTTCCTGCGAAGAAACTAACACAATTTGTCATTTATGTAATATCCGTGCAGTGTCGTAATTTCCCCCAGCTAATGACAGTATGTTTCAGAGAATTTCTGTAAAATTAATCAAGTAATCTAAGCATGACATTTGGTTAATTAAAGGTTTAGTGATTACCTATCGAGTGAATTTCAATGCAAGTTACTGGCATATTCGATAGCCCACTTTAATACCAGCTTTACTCGGTTTTTGGTTTATCAGACTAAGAAAGTAGACGACAGTTTAATTAATTTTATGCAGATATAATGGCATGAATTTATTCGCAAAATACTAATCATACAGGAATTCTACTCAGAGGCGTTCTGAATAGGAGCGTTTTTACAAGTTCAATATGAGAGTTGAAGAAGTTATTTTTGGAAGGTTACCCTAGACCAAATATGTCTCGAACTCAGCTTCCATTATCCCACCCGCTGCCATATCTGCTGACCACGCCGGTGGAAATGGCGACTTACGAGGCATTATAAAAGTTTGACAGTTTTTATACTTTCTCGATGGGATTTAAAAGCTTACCAAATGGGTCATGGCTCGTTATGATCCATCATTGCCAGGGCTTCAGCTTCAGGATGGATTTGGAGGTAGCTCTCCCCGTCAGTTTTCATGTAGTCAGCTCCGGAATTACCATTACACAGGTCAAAGTCAAGGATTTAGTCGGTCGAAATTCTGCCGTAAATAAAATTATTTGAAAGCTTCCCATATACTAGCTATTTTTTAAATGAAGGCTTACGAAATCTATTGCGTATTCATGGTTAACCAACTGATATTACCGAAAAATTTCAGAAGATTTAGAACATGTTAACTCGCGATTAAAAACTCGTACGTAAATTATACAATATCTTTTTTCGCTTTGCTCATTTTGGCTATTCGTTTCAGCCTGAGGATTATTAATACATAGATCATGTTACATTTATATGTAGATAATAATATATATTAGAACGAAAATATAATGAGCATATTATTGTACTGTATTTACGCAGGAGAAGGTTATATAAGTAGAGAACACGATCATACCAAATAACATTGTTAACTGAGAAATCCACCTCTTTCCTGACGTGATTCTTTCAGATTAGCTTTTAATTCAATTTTTAATCGTTACTTAAATTTTCTTGAGTTTCTTCGGCTTAACTTTTAGAGCGCACCGCTTGCTCGATGCAAACACTTCATTTGAAGAGCTTGGTAAACAACTAAGCGGTGAAGGCATAACTTTTTCTTGTTACAAAAATTAACGCTTGCCGAAAAGTATTACGCGAAGTTTGAGTGAAGGTAATTAATTCTGGATAATTCCGATGCTAGAAAAATTGATATTATAAATAATATCAGATTTTAAAATTATTATTATCATTACAGGCAGGCGTTTATTACACTCTAACTATACACCCAGCCAAAAAATACTCTCAACATTAATCGCGCACAAAACATAAGCTCGTCAACAGCAATATTAATATCAAGTTACTTGACCAGGATCTGATTGATGGACAAAGATCTGACCATCATACATGGTCGTGATGGCCTCATCGATCTGTGGCGGTCATGTTCACATGTCCATGTGTGCATGTTGCCCAGCTCCGGCCTCCGCGGTCTGGCTAATGTCTTGCCCATACATGGCCATGTGGCGCAGCGCTCATGCGCATAGCGTATAGTCTGCGCTGTGTAGGTGCATACAGTGCAGGTGTTGTGCATTTAGTGCAGGTGTTATGCATTTAGTGCAGGTGTTATGCATACAGTGCAGGTGTTGTGCATACAGTGCAGGTGTTGTGCATACAGTGCAGGTGTTGTGCATACAGTGCAGGTGTTGTGCATACAGTGCAGGTGTTGTGTATACAGTGCAGGTGTTGTGCATACAGTGCAGGTGTTGTGTATACAGTGCAGGTGTTGTGCATTTAGTGCAGGTGTTATGCATTTAGTGCAGGTATTTTGCATTTAATGCAGGTGTTATGCATTCGGTGCAGGTGTTATGCATTTAATGCAGGTGTTATGCATTCGGTGCAGGTGTTATGCATTTAATGCAAGTGTTATGCATTTAGTGCAGGTGTTATGCATTTAGTTCAGGTGTTATGCATTTAGTGCAGGTCTTATGCATTTAGTGCAGGTGTTATGCATTCAGTGCAGGTGTTATGCATTTAGTGCAGGTGTTATGCATTTAGTGCAGGTCTTAGTCATTTAATGCAGGTGTTATGCATTCGGTGCAGGTGTAATGCATTCAGTGCATGTGTTATGCATTCAGTGCAGGTGTTATGCATTTAGTGCAGGTGTTATGCATTTAGTGCAGGTGTTATGCATTTAGTGCAGGTGTTATGCATTCTGTCTCTTATACACATCTAGATGTGTATAAGAGACAGATGCATACAGTGCAGGTGTTATGCATTTAGTGCAGGTGTTATGCATTTAGTGCAGGTGTTATGCATTTAGTGCAGGTGTTATGCATTCGGTGCAGATGAGACTATTCTGCATTGGTTTTATTTTCTGCATTTTACTGCATTGACACAGCGGCCAGCTTGTGATGAATATAAACTAATAAAGTATCGATGTATACGATAGCTCGTCGGTATACTTGATCTATACGAGAGTCCCATATATCATGCGGCGGCGTATCTGTTGTTCTTTGCCGTATCACAAGTCAATATAGGCAGACTTCCAACCATGAGTGACGTAGGTAGATGTGAATCATTAAAGATATATGCAAAATATATAAGGTAATCAATGTCAGTAAGCCGCCGACCAACCGTCAGTAAAGTATTAGCCATAGAAGTAGCAAAAAAATCATCAACCCATTATAAACAAATCAGCAATCAAGTATCAACAAACCATCAAGTAACCAACAAATCACTCATCATCAAAATATCAACCAATAACCCACAATCGTTGTTGCGAATAAACCAGTAGGCCAATGGATGATATAAAGGATAAGTATTTCCCACAAGAATGATAAGTATTTCCTGTAAGGATGACAAATTTTATACCTACGAGATTCGGGAAATGCTTATACAACAATTCAATACCCTCATTTCTTTTATTCTCAACGCAGACCATTTTCCAACAATTCATAAAAAATAACAAGTAAAGTCTAAAGTTCTATTAAGTAGAACAAAATAATTTCGATCAGCGAAAGACATCAACTTTAAAATACGCTTCACTAGCTTTCACGAGGCTAAAATAATTGTTGACTTTAGTTATATGTTAATCCTATTAAAAACATGCTGCCTTCCAGCTTAGTGATGAAATGTGGGAGTTACGTCCACGTGATGGCAGCCATATTAGCTAATTAATAACTGCTATAATTAGATATTTTTGCTATAATTAGTCAAAATAATCATCTAATTTATCATCTAATTATCATATTTATTAATCATCTAATTAATTTATTGCTGCGATAGTCCGTTAGCATTGCGTTAAGTTTCAGGCGTGCCAACTTTTATACATTTTAGGTCTTATTTCTCCCTTCGAGGTTTCAATTGATGCAGTTTTATATAAAACACTGAATGAATAAATGAAGAAGAAAGCTTGCAATAATGATGAAATCTGTCGAAGCAAAATGCCCATTATATTTCACATTCATTTAAGGAATGAATATGAGTATTTAAATAAATAAAAAACATTCATCTTCAAGACCAAGACCGATTTTGTTGAACACTAATGGAGCGCTCGTCCGATTCTGTAGTTCGTTAAGGTCTTACCGTCTACTCCTGACAGATTTATGAAATGTTATTTAACTAGTTGTGTTAACTTTTTAATGACTTCCATGTTGACTTTATTTATTAAAGGTTCTCCGAAGAAGTGAAATCAGGATCTCCAGTGAGTCACCATAACGAGAAAAAATTGTGAGAGAACAGCTGCCTTAATGTGCCCTTGTGGCTGTCGTTGAATAATTATATTCCGTTGAATAATAATTCCCCTTTGTAGCGCTGTAGCTACCTACATCTTGTCGCCAGCTCTATTATTCATTTTCAAATTGTGGCTAGAAATATTATTGTGTCATCTATTTAAACTTGTGCCTATTAACAGCCCACATCTCTAATACACATCTTGAAAAAGTGTAATGTTTTATTATTGCGATGGGTCCATACATTTAACACAGAAAAGATGCTATAAAAAGTCAATACAATTTTATATATCTATTGTAATTTTTTGGCGTACTTATTCTTGCTTTCATTTATTGTAAACCTAACCTCGTCCCACAAATGTATGAGAGAAGCCGCACAGTGAATGAATGGTGAACGATGCAGCTGGCATGAAGCTCGATGTATGCTTCATACTCCACAATGGGGAACTGATCTGTGAAATATAGAGTGTAATAGATACGTAGTGGAGCCTTGAATTATATAACTCATGTATGGGTAAAATACGTATATTCATAATACAAATGTCTTATGAATAGAGGCAATGCTAAAATGGTGCCTTTCTATGAATTTTAATGCACACAAGTGAGTATAAATAAAAAAATAACAACACTTCATATGCAACAACCGCGGCGCGGTGTCGGGTAAGCCAATATGCCGTGCGATATCATCAACGCCAGAGGTGTTTACCATGGTATCTATGTCTGCCATGTGTGATATTATCTGCCATGTGTAGTGCATGATACACGCAGGTCTGCCATGTGTGCTGCATGATACACGCAGGTCTGCCATGTGTAGTGCATGATACACGCAGGTCTGCCATGTGTGCTGCGTGATACACGCAGGTCTGCCATATGTGTAGTGCATGATACACGCAGGTCTGCCATGTGTGCTGCATGATACACGCAGGTCTGCCATGTGTAGTGCAT